AATGCATCCCTAATTGTTATGGAGTTACATCACTGTTTTTTAGTTTCTCTATTGCAGATATTTTAAACTTCTGGCCTGCAGGCTGTGGGAATCCTGTGTGCATGTTTTTTGTGACCCATCCAATGCCAGTATTTAAATTGGAAGATTTTGTATTAACATCTGGATTGCTGGATTTTCTTTTTTTTTCGTTTTACTTGGATAAATTTACAGGTGCAAGGGTAATTTTGTTATATGTATAGATTGCCTAGTGGTAAAGTCAGGGCTTTTTAGGGTATCTATTACCCAAATAATGTACATTGTACCCATTCCATCATCTCTCATCATCCACCCCTGCCGCCTCTGGATTTTCTTGAGATAGCAAAAATATGGCAGTGATAGGCCTGAGTTTCCTGATAGTCGTAGTCAGCTGGAATTGAGTAGCAGCTGCCCCTTGAAACAGGCAGATGCGTTCTCTTTTTCTGGGTGTTCCTTTTTTACAGTGTCTTGTTTTACAGAATAAAATCTCATCAGATTTGCTGAGGACATATACATGCACTTAGGTTATTTTCTGACCTAGAATTATCTTTTAACTCCAGGATGATGTTTTTTTCTTTTTGTATAGCTTACTGTTTCTCTAATCCTGCAGATGTATTTCAAATGTCTGATGATCCTTGGATTAGTTTTCAGGTTTGAGAATGAGGCCCTGGACAAATGCTCTGTGTACATGGAAGGGCATATTGGTGATGGGCAGACATTATTTGGGTTCAAGCAGATGAAAATCTGGCCTTTGTGCTTTGCCAACCCTAACTGCCAGATTGCAGAGGACTTTGGTCTGGGTCATCACCTCTTACATTAGCTGCTCTGGCTCTCTCAAGATTAGTTTCTTTAAAGAAATATGCATGTGTGCACTTACACCCATATCCAGGGAGAAATGCTGATAAGTCAGGGGTTCTGATTTAATGTATAAACCTTGAGTTCTGTTTTTCGGTGCTACCCTTACTCACTCTGGATTCTATTGAGCCTCTCTGTAGGCAAATAGGAGGCAGACTCCTTCTAATTCTATCTTAGCTGTAGTCTTCTCCTTGCAAGGATTTCTTTTCCTTCATTTCTACTGTAGCAGTCATCTCTGTTTCATTGCCTTCACATTTTCTAGAAATTTGTTAAAATTTTTTTAACTGGGGCCAGGCACAGTGGCTCACGCTTGTAGTCCCAGCACTTTGGGAGGCTCAGGCGGGCAGATCACCTGAGGTTTTCAGTTCAAAACCAACCTGGCCAATGTGGCGAAACCCGGTCTTTAATAAAAATACAAATCTTTGTGAGGCATGGGGGGGCACGCCTGTAATCCCAGCTACTTGGGAGGTTGAACATGACTGTTGCTTTAACCTGGGAGGCAGAGGTTGCAGTGAGCTGAGATTGTGTCACCACACTCCAGCCTGGGCAACAGAGCAAAACTCTGTCTCCAAAAAAAAATAATTAATTAATTAATTTGGTTAACCTCCTCTGCTAATCTCGCTGTTGTAGGATTACAGTTTTTAAAAATTCCTTTACTCGAGTTTAGAGGAAGGATTAAGTATATGCAGGTTTCAAACCAGAAACCCTAAACCTCTGGCCTTGTGCAGTGGCTCACGACTGTAATCCCAGCACTTTGGGAAGCTGAGGCGGATGAATCACTTGAGGTCAGGAGTTCGAGCCCAGTCTGGCTAATATGGTGAAACCTCGTTTCTACCAAAAATATAAAAAATTAGCCAGGTGTGCTGGCGCATGCCTGTAATGAGCAACAGAGCGAGACTCTGTCTCAAAAAAATTAAATTTAAAAACTGGAACTCCAAAAGGAGATATTGCTATAGTTGTTAATAGCTGAATGCTTTAATTTTTCATATTAGTAAGTTGTAGTGGATGACCAAAGTTACCATAAAATTGTGTTGCCTATAATGTTATTTTCTTTTTTGATATGAAATAGCTGATGACTATCAGCCAGTTCGTCTGTTAAGTAAACCTGGGGAATTGAGAAGAGAATACGAAGAGGAAATAAGCAAGGTAGGTGCTAAATAGTTACTCTTTTTTTGGAAAATTTCTCTGTTGTGTTTTCAGTTTCAGATTTTAATTTAGTTTGATGTGCTCATATAACTAGTATATCTTGAAGTGTAGATACTTTTAATGTATTTTATAAGGACTTTGTTTTTTGCTATAATTTACTTATACATAATTAATGCTCTTATGTGATCATGATCCCTAAGCATTTAAGTATGAAGGAAATTTTTAAATTCTTTTTTTCTAATTTAATCTATACCAGGACATTTTTTTATTTCCCTAAAGTTTTGAGCTTAAAAGAAAGAAAAAGAGTGGCAGATGATGGGTTTAGATGAAGAAAGGTTAAAGGGCTAAATGTGAAGTCCCTAAATAGGAAAAGTACCTAAAAAGTGGTGTTTACAGTGAAGTATTATGTTTTAATTACATATGAAGTTATACATAGAGATTTTTCTCTTTTTTTTGTCAGTCTTCAAAATTTTTTTTGTGATTGTCACTTGTAGTACATCTCAGGCTGGGTGTGGAGGCTCACATCTATAATTTCAGTGCTTTGGGAGGCTGAGACAGGACAGCTGTCTTGCAGAATCTGTTTCTCCAGATTTGTACCTCATTTGAGATCATTTAAATTTCTGCCGATTTGTTCCTTTTCTACTTTTCCTGTTCTTATTATGGAATATTGCGAGTATACTAAAACATTCAGAGAAGGATCGCTCTTTATTAATCCCTTTTAAGGTGGAGGCAGAGCGACGAGCCACTGAGGAAGAAGAAAACAAAGCCAGTGAAGAATACATACAGAGGTTATTGGCAGAAGAGGCAGAAAAAAGGCGAAGAGAGATGGAAGAACAACTGAAAAGTGATGAAGAACTGGCAAGAAAGTTAAGCATTGATATTGTAAGTTTTAGGAGAGAACATTGAGGTACGGTCATCCCTTGGTATTTGTTGCAGAATCTGCTCATACAAAAAGTCAGCTCCTTGTATTTTCAGGTTCTGCATCCCACAAATACTGTCTTTTCCACCCAGGCTGGTTGAATTTGAGTGTTTGGTACCTGCTGATACGGAAAGCTAACTATTAACATTCTTATTGCTTTGACTGTGGTTTTCGAAGAACAGAAGAGACAGCAATTGCCATAATTAGAAGCTATTGATGACATTTTTGCTTTACTTAATGAAAAATTTTTTTGCATATTGTTTCATATTTGCTCTAATCCAGGTTCTTGGGGTATTTTTTTGTTTCTTGAGACAGGTCTTAACTTTGTCACACAAGTTGGAGTGCAGTGGTACAATCACAGCTCACTGCAGCCTCCACCACCGGCCTCAGGTGATCCTCCCAACCTCCCGAGTAGCTGGGGCTACAATCCTGTGCCATCATGCCTGGCCAATTTTTTGTGGAGACAGGATTTTGCCATGTTTCCTGAACCGGTGTTGAGCTCCTGGGCTCAAGCCATCCACCTGTCTCGGCCTCCCAAAGTGCTGGGATTGTGGTGTGAGCCACTGCAGGTTGTTTAAAAACTTTTTTTATATGTAGGAAAGCTATTCAGTGAAGAATGAAAGCTTCCTTTTTCCTTCTTCCACCTGTCCACTCCCATTCTTTTTCTATTTATATCAGTCTCTTTCCCCAAAGGTAAACACCATTAACATTTCTTATAACTTTTTTCTTGCCAAGGTGCAGTGGCTAATGCCTGTAATGCCAGTACTTTCCGAAGCTGAGGTGAGAGGACTGCTTGAGCCCAGGAGTTTGAGACCAGCCTGGGCAACAAAATGAGAAATTAAATAATGAGCCGAGTGTAGTGGTGCATGATTGTAGTTCCACCTACTGGGGAGGCTGAGGCAGGAGGATCCCTTGAGCCCAGGAATTTGAGGTTCAAGTGAGCTGATCTCACCACTGTACTTCAACCTGGAAGACTGTCTAAAAAAGCCTTTTTTTCTTTATTCACCTAAAAAGGATTACATAAATCGGTCACCCTTTTACTGCTTGCATTTTTGCCACTTGATATATCTTAGAGATTTTTCATATTGCTACATGTAGTCAATCTAATTCTCTTAAAGAGTAGAATAATATTCCATTTTATGGAGGTAAATCGCTTTTTGAAAGTAAAGCACATTGGCCAGGTGTGGTGGCTTATGCCTGTAATCCCAGCACTTTAGGAGGCCGAGGCGGGCGGATCACAAGGTCAGGAGATCGACACCATCCTGGCCAACATGGTGAAACCCCATCTCTACTAAAATACAAAAAACTAGCTGGGCTTGGTGGCCCACACCTGTAGTCCCAGCTGCTTGGGAGGCTGAGGCAGGGGAATTGCTTGAACCCGGAAGGTGGAGGGTGCAGTAAGCTGAGATCATGCTACTGCCCTCCAGCCTGGTGAGAGAATAAGACTGTCTCAAAGAAAAAGAAAAGTAAGGCACATTAAATTTTTAGATAATGTATTAAACTTGGATTTTATTCTTCCTGTAGTTAAATTGCTGCCTGTAAGAAAATGAATTTAAGGACATGTGATAAAACACATACTTTAAGACCAGAGGATACAGGGGGACCCAGTGGTTTGAAAGAACCTGGGAGAATAACCTGGGAATTCTTTTAAAATACAAACTCTCATGTTTACTCCAAATATATTAAATCAGGGTCTCTAGGGATGGGACCTAGGGAATACCATCTTCAGAGGCATCTAGGGAAGTCTGAAATATTCAGGTTTCAGAGCCTCTGAAAACAACTTTTCAACTTTCAAACAACAAATATCTTTTTTTTTTTTTTTTTTGAGATGGAGTTTCACTCATGTTACCCAGGCTGGAGTGCAATGGCGCCATCTCGGCTCACCGCAACCTCCGCCTCCTGGGTTCAGGCAATTCTCCTGCCTCAGCCTCCTGAGTAGCTGGGATTACAGGCACACACCACCATGCCCAGCTAATTTTTTTGTATTTTTAGTAGAGACGGGGTTTCACCATGTTGACCAGGATGGTTTCAATCTCTTGACCTCGTGATCCACCCGCCTTGGCCTCCCAAAGTGCTGGGATTACAGGCTTGAGCCACTGCGCCTGGCCTACAACAAATATCTTTAAATATACTTACCATTGAATCGTGTGTGTGTGTGTGTGTGTGTGTGTGTGTGTGTGTGTGTATGCACTTAGCAAAATGAGTATACTCAGAATTGGGAATGTTTTTCTTTTTTGAGAGGGCTGCCATTCATAATCTACCCAAGTTTTGGGGTTTTTGCCCCTTTTTATGTGTCTTTTTTGAGTAGAATCGCTTTAGAAAGATACATAATCAGGAAACTAAATAAAAGTCATTGACCAATGGAATAATAAATGGAATAGGGAAGAAATTTGTCTAGTTTTCCCATGGTATTAGAAGAGTAAAATCTACTCTTATAATTGATATTGTAGAATAATTATTTTTAACTTATTGTTTTATTAAGACAGAGTCTTGCTCTGTCACCCAGGCTGGAGTGCAGTAGCACGATCTCAGCTCCCAGGTTCAAGCGATTCTTGTGCCTCAGCCTCCAGAGTATCTGGGACTATAGGCGCAGGCCACCACATCCTGTTAATTTTTGTATTTTTAGTAGAGACAGGGTTTCACCATGTTGGCCAAACCTTGAACCCCTGGCCTCATGTGATCCACCCACCTTGGCCTCCCAAAGTGCTGGGATTACAAACGTGAACTACTGTGCCCAGCCTAGAATACTTTTTAATTTATTTATGAAAGTTTGGTGGTTTAAGGCCAAATATTCACCATTACCATATATGAACTTTTACGTGAGGGTAGTAAGAAACTTATGAGACTGGTACAGCAAGTAAATATTTGTGATTTTTATTGATATGCCCTTAAAGTCCAGAACAAAATTATTATTACATGAAACTCTTATTTGAAGTATATCCACAGCTCTTTGACTATGTCCCTGTAGATAAAAGTAATTATATAGAAGTATTTATTAGAAAAATCATCAGGCTGGGTGCAGTGGCTCAGACCTGTAATCCCAACACTTTGGGAGGTTGAGGTGGGGGAATCATTTGAATCCAACAGTTGGAGACCAGCCTGGGCAACATAATGAGACCTCATCTCTACAAAACATTTTTAAAATAGCTGGGCATAGTGGCGCATGCCCATAGTCCTAGCTACTCAAGAAGTTAAGGTGGGAAGATTTCTTGAGCCCAGGAGGTTGAGGCTGCAGTGAGCTATGATCGGTCCACTGCACTACAGCCTGGATGACAGAGCAAGACTGTGTCTCAAAACAAAACAAAAAAAATACACCTAGCCTAGCACGGCAGCCCATGCCTGTAGTTCAAGCTACTTGGGAGGTGAAGAGGGGAGGTCAAGGTTGCAATAAGCCATGATTGCTGCACTGCATTCTAGCCTAGGCAACAGACTGAGACCCTGTCTTTTAAAAAAAAAGAAAAAAGAAAAGAATCAACAGGAATTATCAGCCAGTGAGATTAGCATTATGCCTTTTTTTGTACTTGATGATGTACAGTAAAAATGTAATTAATTTAGACCAACTTGGATGAACTTAGTTTATTCTGATTTTTGCATGGCCAATATTACTCAAAGGATGTATAAAATTTAAATGTAACTATAATTTCTGAAAAACGCTGTGGATTTCTGAATTAGTCGAGTTAATAGCTTATTTTATCATAAAGTTCTCACTCATAATGTCTGTTATGCTTTTTCTCTTGTTGAAGAACAATTTCTGTGAGGGAAGTATCTTGGCTTCTCCCTTGAATTCCAGAAAATCTGATCCAGTTAGAGCCAAGTCTGAAAAGAAAAGTAAGAACAAACAAAGAAACACTGGAGATATTCAGAAGTAAGTGAACATGACTGTGAATTATTTATTGACTTCCTACTATATGCCAGTGTTTTCTGTTCATATAGACAACTGATTCTCAAAGTTTGGTCCATGAACTTTCTATGAAAATAGTCTGAGATTGAGGTACAGTGCAAAGAAGAGAGAGCTACTCACACACTTCCTCTTGGCTAGCATGAAGAGACAGGTGAAATCTGGCAGGCTTTTCCCTCAGCCACTTACTGTGGCAGATTTGTAGTTTATCTTACTGACTTAGGATTTCTAGTTACCCTCATTTTCTCAAAATGAACCATTGGATTCCTTTTTCTCTTGGTTTAAATTCAAATGAGAAAAACCGGTCCCAGATTGGCTTATCTTCATTTAAGGAGTTTACAATCTGTCATCAGATTTCTTCTCTGTTATACAAAAAAGCATGAGCCAGGTAGTCAAAGGTGGAGTGATTGTGTTTTACCATAACACCCCTCCGGGATCAGGTACTTGGCAGAGTTGGTGGCTTATGCGAACATAAGCATTCCCATAGTAATTCATAGTTGGAAAGTTTAAAAACCACAATTTAGATTTGAAAAATATGTAAGGACTTCTGGTTCAGCTGAGTAAATTGTGTAGATAACTTACCTCCTTCCAGGATTTTTTGAAATTTTGGATCTGAGGTGGGAGGAAACAGCAGAAGAGTATGTTAAATGAGGCAGGTGCTATTAAAAAAAAAATGTGTGGCTCACGCCTGTAATCTCAGCACTTTGGGAGGCCAAGGTGGGCAGATCACAAGGTCAGGGGATCAAGATCATCCTGGCTAACACGGTGAAACCCCCTCTCTACTAAAAATACAAAAAGTTAGCTGAGTGTGGTGGTGGGTGCCTGTAGTCCTAGCTAATCTGGAGCCTGGGGCGGGAGAGTTGCCTGAACTCGGGAGGCAGAGGCTACAATGAGCCGAGGTCACACCACTGAACTCCAGCCTGGGCGACAGAGTGAGCGAGACGTTGTCTCAAAAAAAAAAAGTGACAATATCAGTGTTGCTAATACTCATGATATGCAAAGTAAAAATGAAGAGAAAACCACTGAAATGCAGAAGTATTTCTTATTGATATAATATTCTGCTTAAGGCTGGAACTCATGAATCCTTATATATCTAAATATATATTTTGAAATATATTTTAAAAATTTACCAGAAATATAAGAATAAGGAAAGCAAAAATTGATAAACTGATGGATTAAAGTTGTAACAATATTAAAAACAAAGTCTGTTCTCTAGAATATGTGAAAACTCTTAAAACTCAACAACAAAAGACAGATAGTTAAAAACTGGACAAAGGGACTCAAGTAGATGTTTTCCCCATGATGTACAAATGTCCACTAAGTACATGAAAAGATGCCTCACATCATTAGTCATTAGGGAACTGCATATCAAAACCATAGTGAGATAGCATTTCATACGCATTAGGATGGCTGTAACCCACAAAAAAGGGAAAATAGTAAGTGTTGACAAAGATGTGGAGAAGTTGGAATCCTTTTGCATTGCTGGTAGGAATGTAAAATGGTGTAGTGGCTGTAGAAAACAGTTGGTGATTCCTCAAAAAGTTAAACCAAATTAGCATATGACCCAGCAGTTCTACTCCTAGGTATGTACCCAAAAGAACTAAAAGCAGGTATTCAAATAAATACTTGTACATGAATATTTGTGTCAGCGTTATTCAAATAACCAAAAAATGGAAACAGCCCAAATGTCTATTAACGAATGGATAAACAAAATGTGGCATTCCATTTTGTGTGAATTCCACCTCAATTCAAAAATTTAAAAATGAATAACAGGATTATATAATTTTAAAATTAAGGAAAACTTCTAAACAGCTTGTTGATTACAGAGTAAATTTTGTTGGAAATACAGTACTGAAAACTGGTATGTGGCTAAAGTGGTATTTAGAAGGCTTTACATGCCATATCAGAAAAGAAGAAAGTGCAGCCAGGCATTGTGTTACGTACCTGTAATACCTGCTATGTGGGAGGCTTAGGCAGGAGGATTGCTTAAACCCAGGAGTTGGAGTTTGAGACCAGCCTGGGCCATATAGCAAGATCCTGTCTCTTAAAAAAAATAAATAAACCTCAGACACAGTGGCTCATGCCTATAATCCCAGCACTTTGGGAGGCTGAGGTGGTAGGATTGCTTGAGGCTAGGAGGTCAAGACCAGCCTGGGCAACATAGTAAGAGCCCTTCTCTACACAAAATAAGAAAATTAGCCAAGCACAGTGGCACATGCCTGTAACTCCAGCCACTTGGGAGGCTGAGGTGGGAGAATTGCTTGAGCCAGGAGGTCAACGCTGCAGTGAGCTATGATAATGCCGCTGCACTCCAGCCTGGGTGATGGAGCAAGATTCAAAAAAAAAAAAAAAAAAAAAAAGGCAGTGGCTGAAAATATATTTAAAAAAGCAGTTCCAGGAATACATTGCTGGTTTACTGTTAGAAAATGAATCAATGAAAATTCTTGTGTTAGCTGTATAAATATGAAATATATGAAATGATAATTCTTAACAAGGTGGTAACAGAAGGAAACTTTTTTTAACCTGTTAAAAGATACCTATTAAAAACATATATCACATATCATACTTAATGGTAGAACATTGAAATTCTTTCTCTTTTTTTTGAGACAGAGCCTTTCTTGCTCTGTCACCCAGGCTAGAGTTCGGTCATGGCCCACTGCAACCTCATACTCCTGGGTACAAGCAATCCTGCCACCGCGGCCTCCCGAAGTGCTTGGATTGCAGGAGTGAGCCACCATGCCCAGCCATTCCCCTTCTAAAGTCAGGAATACACAAGGTTAGCCTGCTACTCACCACCTCTATTCAGACTTATACTGGAGATTTTAGTCTGCACAGTAACATAATAAAAGGAAATAAAACATGTGAGTCTGGAAAGGAAGGAGAAAGAAGCTATCACTATTCAAAGGAGGAATAATTATGTAGAAAACCCAAGAAATCAGAGGTGCATTTTTAGAATGAAGAGTTTAGCAAGGTTGCTAGGTATAAAATCTGTACCAAAAAATCAGTTGTAAAATGTAACTTTGAAAATAACTCTGTCGATAGTAGTATCAGGAAATAAAACATACTTAGAAATAAATGTATTAAAATCTGAGCCAAGCATGGTGGCTCATGCCTATAATCCCAGCACTTTGGGAGACTGGGGTGGGAGGATTGCTTGAGCCCAGGAGTTCAAGACCAGCCTGGGCAGCATAGGGAGACTCCATCTCTTAAAAAAATTAAAAAATCAATCAGGCATGATGACACACACCTGTAGTCTCAGCTACTCAGATGGCTGAGGCAGGAGGATCACTTAAGCTTGGAAGGTTGCGGCTGCAATGAGCTATGATTGTACCACTGCACTCTAGCCTGGGCAACAGAGCAAGACCATGTCTTAAAAAAAGAAAAATCTGTAAGACCCATGGAGAAAATTTATATTCTATTAAATATACAATATTCATGGGTTAGAAGATGCCTAAAACTACAAAATGGTCAGATCTCCTCAAATTGATCTATAGAGTCAATGCAAGTCGAGTCAGAATTCCAACTTTTTTTTTTTTTTTTTTGGGGACGGAGTTTCGCTCTTGTTACCCAGGCTGGAGTGCAATGGCGCCATCTCGGCTCACTGCAACCTCCGACTCCTGGGTTCAGGCAATTCTCCTGCCTCAGCCTCCTGAGTAGCTGGGATTACAGGCACGCGCCACCATGCCCAGCTAATTTTTTGCATTTTTAGTAGAGACGAGGTTTCACCGTGCTGACCAGGATGGTCTCGATCTCTTGACCTCGTGATCCACCCGCCTCGGCCTCCCGAAGTGCTGGGATTACAGGCTTGAGCCACCGCGCCCGGCCCCAACTTTTTTTTTAATGCAACACACTGACTTTAATAAAATTCATATTGAAAAGATACTCCTGAAGAAAAATAAAATGTGGCTGGGTGTGGTGAATCATTTGAGCTTGAGTCCAGGAGGGAGGGAGGGAGGGAGAGAGAGAGAGAGAGAGAGAGAGAGAGAGAGAGAGAGGTAATGAGGGACACTGGGGTGAACAGACAAATGGACTGAAGCAACAGAATAGGTACCTTAGAAACACACCACAGTTTAAGAATGTCTATCAAAATACCTATAGAGAATAAAAAGATAAGCTGCAGACTTCAAGAAGATATTTTAACTTCTTTAACTGACAAAAAGTTACTATTAAAGAATGGCCACCTATTAATGAGAAAAAGATGCTCCATAGAAAAATGAGCAAAGAACTCTGACTTCACGGTAAATGAAACCTGAAAGCTCATAAGTATGTGAAAAGGGCCGGGCACCGTGGCCTGTAATCCCAGCACTTGGGAGGCCGTGGTGGGTGGATCACAAAGTCAGATGTTCAAGACCAGCTTGGCCAAGATGGTGAAACCTCGTCTCTACTAAAAATAGAAAAAATTAGCAGGGCATGGTGGCAGGCACCTGTTGTCCCAGCTATTCAGGAGGCTGAGGCAGGAGAATAGCTTGAACCTGGGAGGCAGAGTCTGTTGCAGTGAGTCATGGTCGTGCCACTGCATGCCAGCCTGGGCGACAGAGTGAGACTACATCTCAGGAGAAAAAAAAAAAAAGTGTGAGGCTAGGTGCAGTGGCTTATACCTGCAATCCCAGCAATTTGGGAGGCCAGGGCAGGTGGATTACTCGAGCCCGGGAGTTTGAGACCAGCCTGGGCAACTGTCTACAAAAAATACAGAAATTAGCAGGGGGATGGTGGCATGCGCCTGTGGTCGCAGCTATTTGGGAGGCTGAGGTAGGAGGATTGCTTGAGCCTGGGAGGTCAAAGCTGCAGTGAGCCATGATGATGCTACTGCACTCCAGCCTTGGTGAGAGAGTGAGACCCTGCCTCAAAAAATAAAATAATGGCCAGGTGTTGTGGCTCACGCCTGTAATCCTAGCACTTTGGGATGCCAAGGTGGGGGCAAATCACCTGAGGTCAGGAGTTCAAGACCAGCCAGGCCAACATGGTGAAACCCTGTCTCTACCAAAAATACAAAAATTAGCTGGGTGTGGTGACAGACACCTGTAATCCCAGCTACTGGGAGACTGAGACAGGAGAGTTGCTTAAACCCAGGAGGTGAAGGTTGCAGGGATCAGAGATCGTGCCATTGCACTCCAGTCTGGGCGACAGAGTGAGACTGTCTCCAAACTAAATAAATAAATGAAATAAATAAGATAGTGTGTGTTACATAGAAATCATATATATATTTTTTAAAATTGGTTATAAATGTTAGAAGGAAAACTGTAGACAAATTAACAGAGTTTAATTAAGCAAAGGACAATTCATAAATTGGGTAGCCTCCCGAGTCAGAGTAGGCTTAGAGAGACTGCAGTAAAACCACATGTTGGAAGATTTATGGACAGAAAAGGGAAAGCGCTGAACGGAAAGCAGAGGTGAGGTGCAGAAACAGCCGGAGTGGTTGGTTATTACAGCTCGGCATTTACCTTATTTGAACATGATTTCAAGTTGGCCCCCTTTGGCCAAAACTTGGTGAGTGTACGGACTGTTTACACCTCCATTTTAGGCTATAGTTCACTATGTAGAGAGAAACCTTAAAATATGTAAGGAGGCAGCTTTAGGCCAAACTTAACACGTAAAGGAAATAGGAATGGCAAGCAAATGGGAATGGATTCCAAAAATTCAGACTCAAGGTAAAAAGAAAAAGAAAATTCTTAAAATATGAGTCGGGAAAGGGTTGATGACATAAATGTCCTGTATTTCTGTTTTGTTTAAGAGACAGGGTCTCACTGTCACTTAGGCCATAGTGGCAAGAGAATAGCTCACTGCAGCCTCAAACTCTTGGGCTCAAGTGATCCTCCCACCTCAGCCTCCAGATTAGCTAGGACTATAGGCAACACCATTATGCCCAGCTAATTTTTTTTTCTAATTTTTTGTAGAGATGGGTCTTGCTTTGTT